CTTAATCTTCATTTCCTTTAATTTTCTGAAGAATGAATCAGAACTTTTCACCTAATGATCTGAAGCTGAAATATAATAGCAGTAATATATTATGAACCTAATAAAAGTTGAAACAAAAATAAACGTTATTATAAAATTTTCACATGAACTAAAACCAAACTTTGTTTAATTTCTTGAATTTAATGTTCATGTCATACCTAGTAAAACATGAACAAAATTACTATGGGAATTAACTCAGTCAATCTAGTTTAGGAAAAAACAAAATTTTCATTGAAGATGGGATACCATTTATTTTTATATTTTATATTTTTAATTAAAAAGATATTTAAATCGCATTATCATTATTTGTCCTATATATCAAAGAAATAATCCAAATCAAGAGAGAAGATAAAAGTGACAAAATAATGATTTATAGTTTTACACTTAGAGTGAGTTCACCACATAAAGCTATCCTGATCCTCATTGACTAGGAATAATTTGAAGAAAGTTCGGTCCAAGCTCAACTATCAACTTACAGATTAAAAAGCTGTCATTGGAAACTTTTGACTAAGTGAGCCCAGAGGTGTAGTATAGATGCTGATCACCTAGGGCTCATTGTAAACATAAACTATTGGGGACATCTGATCCTCATCATGTAACGGTCATTTTATGAAATGTTGTGTTACCTCTACTAATAACTTTCATAAATTACACCTTATTTTCATCAAAATCTGACTGATGGTTTCTGAAGAGAAGTTGAAAGTAGTATTGTCCAAGTGAAAAATAAATGGGGAAAATGTAATCACCATAGAATTTGTAACTCAAACAAAGGTTGAACGCCCTAGGACTGTATCTTTTGTAAATTACTAATAGCTTCCATCCCCCTTCCCTGTGGAATATGACCTTATCATTTTTGAATTGCCCATTCTTTTGAGTAATTTATGAATTACATAAATTATAGCAAATTATACATTTCTGAAGTAATTAAAATTATCTAAAATGCATTCCACTTCACAATATATGTATATGTAACCATTTGAAAATTTCAAATGTTCCTTAGTCTCCAATGATAATCACAATTTGGACCAAGAGTTTGTTTACCAACATACCCTGATAAATCCCTGTGTTCATGATTAGACATGTAAATATCAAGTCTTAACTCTTAAATATCCACCAAGATCCAAATAAACAGCATATCTTATCTCTCGTATCATCACATAATTTATATAACTTTGGAACAACATCAGGGCTTTGAGAAAATCACTGAAGCTCTAAAGCTGGTGGCAAATAGCTATTAATATCTTGTGTTCCACTTGGGAAGTGTTGTAGAAGTATCCTGGAATGTCTGGAATGCTGGGTTTTAATGCTTCAATAATTCAGTTCAACAACTTCTCTGTTATGAATTATTTCTTTGAAATATTCCACTCAAAAACAGCTGGCTTTATTATCATAACTGGCAAGTAATGCAAATTGTTTTTACCTGAAATTACCTTTCTCAATTAGACTTCTAATTTTATCTTGAATGTACATAAGGAATTTAAACAACCCACCATCTTCAGGCAGTGAACGTGCACAGGTTTAAATACTATAGCTCATGTATTCTGGGTAATGATGCAGTTTTAAGTATTTCATTTACCATGCATTACAGGCAAAACACTAGAAATTCCACTTTAAGTTTTTCTGTATATATACAGTAACCTCCCCTTAATTTAATTCTCGATATATATAACAGTAGCTAAATTGGACCAGGACACTTCTGCTGAGCGAGTAGCTCCATTGGTAAGAGTGATATTACAATTTGAGGCGCAGGTCAAGCCCTGCTGATTTTTTTCCAATCAGAACACTGTTGTAGATTATATTTTGTTTATTCAAACTTAATTGTGTTTTCATAAAAGTCCCACAATGTATGATTTTCTTTCAGAAATGTTTATCAAGACAATAGTCATGCTATTTCCAATGTGAAGTTACAGTGTTTGGCAGTGTACTGGGATCCTTACATTGGCCGTGCCACAATGTGTCAGAAACACTGCCGTCGTAAAAAAATCATAATTATTAAAAGTATATTGGTATGAAAAGATTTAAAATTGAAATGACTTACATTTGTGTCAAGTATAAACATGCAAGATTTTTCCCCAATTTGGGCCAAACCTTATTCTGTTCCATGTCAAGGCCAAACCTTATTCTGTTCCATGTCAAGGCCAAACCTTATTCTGTTCCATGTCAAGGCCAAACCTTATTCTGTTCCATGTCAAGGCCAAACCTTATTCTGTTCCATGTCAAGGCCAAACCTTATTCTGTTCCATGTCAAGGCCAAACCTTATTCTGTTCCATGTCAAGGCCAAACCTTATTCTGTTCCATGTCAAGGCCAAACCTTATTCTGTTCCATGTCAAGGCCAAACCTTATTCTGTTCCATGTCAAGGCCAAACCTTATTCTGTTCCATGTCAAGGCAATACCTTATTCTGTTCCATGTCAAGGCCAAACCTTATTCTGTTTCATGTCAAGGCCAAACCTTATTCTGTTCCATGTCAAGGCCATACCGGAATCGAAAGTGAAATAACCAATTTTTAGTTACAAGGGTACTGTCTGTATGTATCATTACGCAAAATGACTATACCGTACTATGTCGCAATTTCGTTCCTTTTATTAGTAGGAATATCAAATACATTTGTTATGGTGAAAGAACTAAACACGCATATATTTAATATATTATATACAGGGGCGGGTCCAGGTGAGGGCGTAATGGGCGTACGCCCCCCCTTTTCAAAAAAAAACAAAAAAACAAAAACTATCGTCATCTGCCAATATTGTATTGAATATGGCAATTGATCATATTCATTAATTAAACACATACTCTGATTTCTTTTTATATGCTCCAAGTCAGGAACCTTTACATTAGTGCATTTCACAATTATTTTATTTTTTTAGCAAAAAAAAAGGTCCAAATTTTTTTTCACCTCCCTCCGCTCGGCGAAAGATTTGATTCAACGCCTCCTCTTTCAAATATCATAGAAACGCCCCTGATATATACGTCTGGCAGAAGCAAAATATATTTGTAGTAGCAGGGACCTATGCTCATTAGCTGTCTTTTAACAGAAAAAGTAGTCATGAGTGCGTGAAAATTCATTAATTCAATAAAAATTGAAAACATGATTTCCATCGATAAAAAAAAAGGATTTAATGATAAACATGTTAAATGTCAAACTGATTTAATACTTGGGCTAATTTGTGGGTTAAAGGTAAAATTTCAGTAACGTAATGTTGAAAATGTAATTCCTTTCGATTTTGTAGAATCATGTTAACCCAATAGAGTGCCAACAGACAAGAAATACGTCGTCATTTTAAAGTAGCCCATTGCCCGGGACATGCATGAAATTATGTAAATCATCAAGTTCTTTACGGCACATTAGAAAATAAAGGTGAATTCCTTTTTATATCTTTGACATGCGAGACCTCTTGAGTGTGTTTTAATGGAAAGTTAATAACATGTAAGAAAATAAGAACAGACAGTTTTATCCTGCTGATAAGAAAAAAGATTTAAGATAAGCGGCAAAGTACCTTATAATTAGAGTAACACTTATCTGACCTCATATGCAAACAGTGTTACCAGGAACATGAAAGTTGCATATGAGGTGAATAAATTTCCAAAAACGTCTTAATATCAGAGTCACCGGACAATTATATCTACTAATTATTTTTTCAAACCCAATAATTGTACAAGATCAGCTTGCACCTGAGCGTATATCGTTAAAATCTGTACACCTGCAGAATCAAAGTTTAGAATACTTTACTATGTTCACGCCTAAACAATTAGAGTAATTTTATAAACAGTTATTAAAATATAATTATTTGATGATCACATTTCAGTTACTAAATAAATTATCCTTCATTTTTATATAAGTTTGCATCAGTCAGATTTTCTGTTTTAAAACATATTTGGCAATTCATAAGTATTTTTCATTTTTAATCATATAAAAAACATGACTTGATAAATAGAATATGGTAACAGGGAAATCAAGCTGTTCATATACAAACAAAAAATACTTAGCAAAAAAAACAAAAACAATAATTAACTATTTTTTAAATATGCATAAAAAATATCCGTTACAAGAGGTTAATATCGTTACAAGAACATTTACTGCAGAATTAAAAACTTGATCATCCATGTAAAATTTTACAAAACCTCAACGTACAAAATAATTTTTAGAATTTATTTTTCCGTAAGAAAAGTACTGTAACCAAAAGATATTTTTGAGGTTTTATTATATTCATATACATCATGTTTAAAATTACATAAATGCATGAAATATGTTTTACATGTAAAATAACAAAATACTGTTATGCATATATATTTTTTTAATTGTAAAATAAGATATGAATGTTAATATACAGTTTCGCACTGATGATCACAAACCATGTTATTTAGAGATTTTTTTTTTATAGTTGCCAGTAAAATTACAAATCTTGCAAAAATACTCCCTCAGTTTAAGGTTATGTAATGTTAATGACATCTATAAGCTATAATCATACTCCATTACATGTATGCATTATTTTAATAAATTATAGCAATTTTCAATAATATATCACATTATGCAATTATAAATTATGATAATAGGACATCATTTCATATTCCAGCCCATATCATAAATATATTCTCTGACCTTAATCGTTTATATACATCTACATGTGCATCTTCCAACGATTTATTTGTAGTTTGTCTGACAACCGATTCGCGCGCTGCAGCAGGGATGCTGAACTCCGCGCGCAGCATCCATCTTCTTCGCCGCTTCAGCAGCCCAGCGCTTAAATAATGGAAGCGCTGTATCGATTTCATGAGAGAACAAAGACTACAGCGAACACTCGTTGGTGTAGAGTGGCACAGAAAATGCTAATAATGACAATCTTTTACGGTATAATTCTTGCGCATTTATTTGATAAATTATGTTAATAGTTTGTCGTATAAATCGCTAATTAGAAAATAAATTAATAAATAAGCATATATGACCTACATATTTACTTACCTGATATTTCACGATGAGGATTTTCCTAGACTGCAGCTGTCCAGATGATCATTTCACATCATTTTATACAATGTGTCTTCAAAATTAGCGGATCGAGGAATATTATATTATCAATGTATTCGAGCACATGGGTTTTTATAATAAATTATGTTAATGAATGCTCACGGTCTTCATATATAAATATTAGCTTGCCAGCCCTACCTTCTAGAGGTCTACCTTGACCTACAGCAAATAAAATAGTTCGGGCGAATAAATTCTACTCCCAAAAAGGAAAGGAGTTTAGGGTGTCATATTACCATTCGGGGGAAAACAAATCATGCAGAAAGGTATTTGTATTTTTAATTTCGTTAAAAACATACAAATTTATGGCTTTTAAGGTTATAGAAGAAGGAGGGTCTACATGATATATAGGGGTGGTACATCAGAGAAATTTATTTGACGACGGGCACCAGCTCAACCTCGGCGGTAGTTTACCCCCTTTGGACCTCAATTTATTACGCCTAGTTAACATGTAAATAACATCCGCGTAAAAAAATAGTTCATGGTAGTAATCCAGACTTCTCGCTATAAAATAATCTTTTATCTTCAACAAGATAAATTTATCGTTTGCTTTTAATTATTCTCCTTTAAAACATCTCACAATATGTAGTTTGTACAATTGTTTTCTTTGTTATGACATTTCACTGCACGCCCCCGAATAGATCATGTGACCCTACCGAATCAAAAATGGCGACTTCCACACCGAGCCAGGAAACAGTTGAGGTTTCGTTTTATCTTATATTCTAAGGAACAAACACCAGGCTTAACAGTGAAATGATTTCAATATTATGTTCTATTTTCCGACCCTATCATAATGTTTAACCTAAATATTTTTCTATAGATAACATGGACAACTGTTCTCTTTTACAAACATTTGGGGCCAGGGCGGTAAGCATCAACATTATTGAAAAACACATTTATGTACATAAGGTGCAAATTTAGTGAATAATAATGCTGATTGTGACAAAATATAGATCAGTTAGTAACACAAAAATAATATAAATCCATATCAACCTGTCATTTAAATGTTTAACTATGACTTTCTCGCAGCCATTTTGGTATCTGTGGAGTTGCAACATATAGATATATATAGCCTAGATGATAATAATAATAATATTTATTCAGGTAAAAGGCAAATAATACAAATTATTCGTGCCATAAGACTAGAAGTCAGTCAGGTGTTAAAACTGGATTGGATTAGATTAATTTAGGCCTTTACCTGGGATGACCCATAAAGCCACATTGTGGCTTATTACTCCAATTTGGGGTCCCTTAGATCTAATAATTCAATTCATATAATAGTTACATAATTATATAGTATATATATTGATAATTTGATAAGACTCTAAGACACTTCTTTTATAAAAAATAGATATAAAATGGTTACATGTGCCATAGGCTATAATCAATAAAATAATGCTGGTAATGGAATGATATAAAATATGAAGAGAGTAACAATATATTGGAATTTTAATGACGGAGTTAGATTATGTACAGTGATTATTTCCCCCCGTAGATCCGTCGACGAGATATAGACAACATTTGGGTACAGTTGCTCGGTTGATATTTTGGACAATTTGTCTTAATATTGTTTTGTGTGTTGCTGATGTAGCAGCTCATTTTCCAGGTATAACAAAGAAACGTGTCTTGGGGTTCTCTCCTTTTATTCCGATCCATATGACAAATAATGACCAAGCATGAATAGTCAGGCTGGCATTGACACCCTACAAATATACACAAATAACACAAACATACTGATAAAAATATTACATATACATATACAGAGATATACATTTCAAATCTACAAAGACTGATCTTTACTGATATATTGAAAGAATTACTTTTATCATATCTTATATCCTTACATAATTTATTAAATAGCTTATATAGAATTAACTCTACATGTATCATAGTTCATCATAATTTAACTTTACGAATTACATGTAATGAATTACTTGTCTAGTAATTACATTTCATACAAAAAGAGCTATAAATGATAAATACATTCACAGTTACTTTTACAAACAGTAGACATACTTTAACACACGAATAAAAGATACGTTATTAGAAAATACACATTTTACAAATACACATACCCCATTTATGGAATGGAGGCATTAACAACTGGGACTTCTAATTTCTAATTCCCTCCAGCACTTTCCTCGGACTACCGGTAATCAATGTTGATAAATATTCTAAAGATAAAAGTATAAACTAATAACAATTAAATGCTTTCAATTTAATCAAATACACAATTATACTACTTTTATCAAATAGAATTCATTTAATTAGTTATGCACCTTTAAAAATACAACATAGCACTCTATCAAATATCTAGAAATCTGCACATACCTTTGTTCTGTATTGGGATTTCTATAGCATGTAAAGGTTATTGCATGGTTTCCGAGTAACAAGGGATTTATTACACCCGAGCGAAGCGAGGGTGTAATAAGTCCCGAGTGACGAGAAATCATGCAATAACTGGCTTACTGTCTGCTTCCCAACTCAAACAAAACAGAAAAGTTGAGTAAAAAATGTTCACCTGAACAATCTTTTTACCTACCCTACACTGCAGATAATTTACATGTACCTTTGTGAGTGAGGACTAATCATAACCAGGTAAGATTCTCAATAGCCCAGTCTGGGTGTATCCTTCATAATGGATACAAGTGTTTTTGGATTACTATCCAGGTCCAGTGTCAGGGAAGGTAAGGATTACGTGTCTGTTCAACAATTAGAACAAAATACAGGAATCAATGTTGAATTGCTGACTACATTTTCAGTTTAATTTTCAAGATGTGGCAAAGGTACAGGATATTGAAACCATTTCATGCATACAATGTAAGGGTTTAACAATCCCTAAGGAATTCCAGTTCTTTCAATGAATGGTAAATTTGAATGTGCAATTTTGTATAAAGGAACAGCTCCTAAAGATTATAAACTTTTCAAGGAAATGCTTATCCTCTTACGTGATAAGGAAATCTGTTTGTGATTTTCAATCATGAAATTACCATTTTTAACTTCATTTTTCCCTCTTATTTTAAAATGTGTCAACTAAGTTTATCCTTTCCACTGTATTGACTTCATTGTTACTCACTGATTGATTATCTCCCCTTTCTTACAGTATTTGTAACCACAGTCCACTGGGCACACCCCCTTTCACGGTCATGTAATCATGATTGGCCATGAAAGGGGATTATGTGTGCAGTGGACTGTGGTAGCAAGTGATTTATTGCCCACACTTTTCCATTATGAGAGGTGGGAAGTATGCAGTAAATATATATAGATCAGCTCTCCTCCAAACGTTTGGTGGCAAATATCCTGACTATATGTCTAGCTGTGACCCCCCAGGACCAATGAAATTACTGAATATAGACACACCTACAAACTGACCAACAGAAGTATCTATATAAATAGACAAACAGGTTTTAAACACGTGCACATGACCAACAAACTGGACAGAACGGCACAGCACATTACAATACATTCACATTTACATGAGCTTATACTCACCTGGTCTGGGTCCTGCCTCAGGGCATGTTACAGGTAAAGTACATGTATACTGTAGGTCTTCTATACTTACCTAGGTATATATATATGCACAAATGTATAGATATAGATATAAAACAACACAACATCAATGTTTCATATCTTTTTATTAGCTCACCTGGCACGAAGTGCCAAGTGAGCTTATGCCGTGGCGCAGCGTCCGTCGTCCGTCCGTCCTCGTCTGTCAACTTTTCCTTTAAACAACTTCTTCTGAAGAACGGACAGGCCTAGAGTCATGATATTTGGCTGAAAGCTTCGTTGGTAGGAGCCCTACAAAGTTTGAGAACGAAAATGACCTTGACCTGTTTTCAAGGTCACAGGGGTCAAATATGTCAAAAACTTCAAACGACTTCTTCTAAAGAACTAAAAGGTATAGAATCTTCATATTTGGCTGATGGCTTCCTGGGATAGAGCCCAACAAAGTTTGAGAATGAAAATGACCTTGACCTACTTTCAAGGTCACAGGGGTCAAATGTGTCAAACACTTCAAACGACTTCTTCTGAAGAACTGAAAGGTATAGAATCTTTATATTTGGCTGGTGGCTTCCTGGGATAGAGACCAACAAAGTTTGAGAATGAAAATTAGTTTGACCTACTTTCAAGGTCACAGGGGTCAAATATGTCAAAAACTTCAAACGACTTCTTCTGAAGAATTAAAAGGTATAGAATCTTCATATTTGGCTGATGGCTTCCTTGGATGGAGCCCAACAAAGTTTGAGAATGAAAATTACCTTGACCTTCTTTCAAGGTCACAGGGGTCAAATGTGTCAAACACTTCAAACGACTTCTTCTGAAGAACTGAAAGGTATATAATCTTTATATTTGGCTGGTGGCTTCCTGGGATAGAGCCCAACAAAGTTTGAGAATGAAAACTAGTTTGACCTACTTTCAAGGTCACAGGGGTCATATATGTCAAAAGCTTCAAATGACTTCTTCTGAAGAACTGAAAGGTATAGAATCTTTATTTTTGATTGATGGCTTCCTTGGATAGAGCCCGACAAAGTTTGAGAATGAAAATGACCTTGACCTTCTTTCAAGGTCACAGGAGTCAAATGTGTCAGACACTTCAAACGACTTCTTCTGAAGAACTGAAAGGTATATAATCTCTATATTTGGCTTGTAGCTTCCTAGGAAAGAGCCGAACAAAGTTTGAGAATGAAAATGACCTTGACCTTCTTTTAAGGTCACATGAGGCAGATATGTCAAACACTTTAAACGACTTCTTCTGAAGAACTGGTAGTTATAAAATCTTAATATTTGGCAGGTGGCTTCCTGGGAAAGAGCCAAACAAAGTTTGCGAATGAAAATGACCTTGACCTACTTTCAAGGTCACAGCGTTCAAATATGTCAAACAGTTCAAACAGCTTCTTCTGAAGAATTAAAAGGCATAAAATTATAATATTTGGCTGGTGACTTCCCGGGATAGAGCTCACCAAAGTTTGCAAATGAAAATGACCTCAACCTACTTTAGAGGTCACAGAGGTCAACAACATTTTAATGGATTTGTTCTTGAGAACTAAAAGGAATGGAATCATAAGATTTGGCTGGTAGCTTTTTGGAATAGAGCTAACCAATTTGAGAAGGAAAATGACATTGACCTACTTACAAGATCACACGGAAAAGTATGTCAAGCAACTTCTGAAGAAGAATAAAAAAGCATAGAATCTTATAATAATATTTTGCTGGTAGTTTCAACAGATGGAGCCAACAAAGTTTGCGAGGGAAATAGTTTTAGTGCAATATAATATTTAATGAGAATATTTTGCTATGACTGCTTAAATATTCAGGTGAGCGATACAGGCCCTCTTGGGCCTCTTGTTAAAATCAGAATTAAACCACTCTACTACACTGATTTTATAGTTTAAGATTTGTTTTTATAAAAAAAAGTACAGAATCTACCGCATGTCCCATAAAATGTTGGAGTCCTAAATATCCAGTACAATATGATATCTGCAGTTTCAGCAGCTAGCCATGTCCATGGCTACCTACTTTAACAATGTTAGAGGTTAATAAACATGGGAAGATAATTTTGATAAATCTGCACAATCAAATTATCCAATAAAAATAATATTGACCAGCAGTGCCTTTTATGTTATAGGAATACACCTGCACATTCTTTTTAAAGCTGCCTTTACATTTGTAACAGGAAAGAAAGTGGTGCGCTTCTGGATCGAACCAGTACACGTGATCCCGACATTACTAGTCCGATGCTCTACCACTGAGCTAAAGCTTAAGCCCACTTTAATTATATATGTACAATTAAAATCTGCCATACATTTCCTACATTTCATTTGTCGAATGCACTGTTTGAAATTTAAGTAAAATTTGATTATGCCAATGAGTTTCATTCTTGATTTTATGGTAATTATTTAAAGATTGAGCATCAATTATAAACTGGCTCTGCTGGGTCTTTTCTCCCCTGGTTGTCTACTTCAGGTCTACACTCTGTAAATATGTTGTATATTGTCCTTGTACAGTTTCCGCTGCGACCTCTGAACGGGAACAATAAATCTCTGCCATGCAGCTTCTTCTATGGATGTTCATGGTTTCATATGTTTTGGTATCTTTTTCTGCTGTGTTCCATATCAGTTGAAAATCCCAAACTTTTTGTCTTAAAATGTTAAATGTTTGTTTCATTTTCTCAGAGAATTGTATTGATGTATCTATTTCAAGTTTTCATTGTCAGCCAAGGTGTTTGCTGTTCAGATTATTTATCTAGAACATATCTGTCTGTGGTAGACATAAATCACATACACCTAGCATAGTTATGAAATTATATCAGATTTTTAAAGTGTTATATCATTGGGGCCTTTTTTTTGTAAGCACATATATATATATATATATATATATATAGCTGTTAAATTAAAATTGACTAAATCATAATTCCGATCAGCTAAGTCTGATCCAATATTAAGACAAAATGATTTGTTAAAACAAAACAGTAGTAATTAGTATGTTTATTTCTTTCTTTCATAGGAGGAAGATAAAGATGGCAGTGAAGGAGAATCATCTGAAGAAGTATGTTATTTAATCTTAAACTTTTATAGCAATGTAATACTGCAGTAGATGGGCTGGGCTGGTAACTTTACTGTGGTAAAATCATCTGGGCACTTCAGCTATGGTATAAACTGAGTTGATCTATCTAGTTATACACAACATACAAAATAAAGGTATAATCAATCTGCGCCACCATATAATATATATGGCAGTATTGACTTGTGCGATTGCTTGGCTCATTGGTAGTGCGCTACCTTACAGTAAGAGTAACTCCCCTTGGTCGGAACTCTTTGTGTACTTGTTTTTAGGTCACCTGAGCTTTAGCTCAAGTGACCTATTGCTATCCGTCTTCGTCCGTCTTCATCCGTTAACATTTTACATTTTCAACTTAAACTGAAATACTCGCAAAGAGATTTCATTAATATTTCATGGGAAGGTTACTGACATCTCCCTGACCAAGCGTTGTTATTTTTCGGGTCGATCAGAAATCCAATATGGCCACAACCACCACCGCCATTTTGAAAAACTATTTCAAACTTAAAGTCAAGTTCTGCTAGGCCGATTGAACTGAAAGTTGGTAGGAATGATGGACTCATGGTCCTGACAAAGTGTTGTTATTTTTCGGGTCGATCAGAAACCCAATATGGCTGCCACAGCCGCCATTTTGAAAAACTATTTCAAACTTATAAAGTCAAGTTCTGCTGAGCTGATTGAACTAAAACTTTGTAGGAATGATCGACTCATGGTCCTGACAAAGTGTTGTTATTTTTTGGGTCAATCAAAAATCCAATATGGCTGCCACGGCCGCCATTCTGAAAAACTATTTCAAACTTAAGGTCAAGTTCTGCTGGGCCGATTGAACTGAAACTTGGTAGGAATGATCGACTTATGGTCCTGACAAAGTGTTGTTATGTTTCGGGTCGATCAGAAATACAATTTGGCTGCCATGTCCGCTATTTTGAAAATACCTATTTCAAACTTAAAAACAAGTTCTAATAGGTCGATCTAACTGAAAATCGGTCTAGGAATGATCAGCTCATGGTCCTGACAAACTTAAGTTAACATTATACGTAACAATTTTTTACTCAAATTGGTACTTATTTCAACAAAAAAAATAAATACTGTAGGACTCAGGTGACCGTTAAGGCCCATTGGCCTCCTGTTGTTATACCATGTGCCTTTTTGGATAAAGCTGTGTTGGTAATGACATCCGGCGTGTGTCATCTTTAATACTGGCGCTGGATATCTTCTCAACAGTATAATGTCTTGTTAGCTCACCTGGCCCGAAGGGCCAAGTGAGCTTATCCCATGGTGCAGCGTCCGGCGTCCGGCGTCCGTCAACTTTTTCCTTTAAAATGCTACTTGTCCTGAATGGCTCAGAGGATTTTGACCAAATTTGGTCAGGAGCATCATTGGCCAAAGGGTTCTCAGTTTTGTATAAACGGAGGGTATAACCCCCCTGGGGGCAGAGGGGCGGGGCCAAATAGGGGGAAAATAGGTAAATCTTTAAAAATCTTCTTCTTCTCAACCAATAGAAGGATTTTGACCAAATTTGTCCTAGAGCATCTTTGGACAAAGGAGACTCAAGTTTGTATAAACGGAGGGTGTGGCCTCTTTGGGGGCAGAGGGGCGGGGCCAAATAGGGGAAGTAGAGGATTTTTTCTCTCCTACTATACAAGTGAAGGGATTTAAACCAAATGCAGTCTGAAGCTTGGTCAGGAGCATCATTGGCCAAAGGGTTCTCAGTTTTGTATAAACGGACGGTATAGCCCCCCCTCGGGGCAGAGGGGCGGGGCTAAATAAGGGGAAAAAAGGTAAATCTTTAAAAATGTTCTTCTTCTCAACCAATTGAAGGATTTTGACCAAATTTGTCCTAGAGCATCTTTGGACAAAGAAGACTCAAGTTTGTATAAACGGAGGGTGTGGCCCCTCTGGGGGCGGAGGGGCGGGGCCCAATAGGGGAAATAGAGGATTTTTTTTCTCCTGCTATACAAGTGAAGGGATTTTAACCAAATGCAGTCTGAAGCATGATTAGGGACAAAAGAATCAATTTTGTATAAACTGAGGTGTGTGGGCCTCCTTCTAAGGGCAGATGGGTGGGGCCCATTAGGGGAAATAGAGGAAAACATCAAATATCCTTCTCCTTTTGTACCGATGAAGGGATTTTGACCAAATTTGGTCTGGAGCATCATTGGCCAAAGGGTTCTCAGTTTTGTATGAACGGAGGGTATGGTCCCCCTGGGGGCAGAGGGACGGGGCCAAATAGGGGAAAATAGGTAAATCTTTAAAAATCTTCTCCTCAACCAATTGAAGGATTTTGACCAAATTTGTCCTAGAGCATCTTTGGACAAAGGAGACTCAAGTTTGTATAAACGGAGGGTGTGGGCCTTCTGGCGGCATAGGAGCGGGGCCCAATAGGGGAAATAGAGGATTTTTTTTCTCCTACTATACAAGTGAAGGGATTTAAACCAAATGCAGTCTGAAGCATGCTTAGGGAGAAAAGAATCAATTTTGTTTAAACTGAGGTGTGTGGATTCCCCTTCTTTGGGGCAGATTAGTGGGGCCCATTAGGGGAAATAGAGGAAAACATTAAAGATCCTTCTCCTTCTGTACCGTTGAAGGGATTTTAACCTAACCAAACTTGTTTTAGAGAATCTTTGGGCAAAGGGAATTGAATATTTATAAATGGAAGATGCAACTTTGTTACTTGTACTCCTTTGATAAACTTGAATGGTACTCAGCAGGTTTTAAATTGAAAAATAAAATACCAGGTGAGCTATTAAGGCCCCTGGGCCTCTTGTTTCAATGTTGTTTCAGGAAGTGGAACCCAAACTTAAGTATGAGAGACTGGGCAATGATCTCAATACCATCCTCAGCAAGGACTGCGCTAGTTGTATGGCTGTTGATTCTAAGGTGAGTCTTATCTACGTGAATGATCTATAGCCTGTCGTAAAAATTGGTAGTACATTTGTAATTATGTTTGCAACATGATAGGAATTTTCTGATCAGAATAATGATTTGCTACTTAATATTTTGTCATGCACATTACAGGAAAAAACTTAATAGAGTCCATTAATTAACTATATTACTCTGCTATGATTTTCTATCTTATGCAGTTAACATGTACATTGTGAGGCATTAATGTAAAACCATTTACTTAAGGGAGATAACTGCTGCTGACTGTTTTTAGCTCACCTGCCCAAAGGGCAAGTGAGCTTATGCCATGGTGCGGCGTCCATCGTCTGTTTGTCCGGCGTCAACTTTTTACTTAAACAACTTCTTTTCAGTAACCAAAAGGCCTAGGATGATGATATTTGGCCAGTAGCATCCTGGAATCAAGGTCTATCTAGTTTGTTTAAATGAATGACCTTCACCCATTTTCAAGGTCACAGGGGTCAAATATGTTAAAATCTTTGAACAACTTCATCTGACGAACCAAGAGGCCTAGGGTGATGATATTTGGCCAGTCACATGCTGGGATAAAGGGCTACCAAGTTTGTTCAAACAAATGACCTTCTCCCATTTCCAAGGTCACAGGGGTCAAATATGTTTAAAACCTTTAAAACAACTTCTTCTCAATAACCAAACAGCCTTTGATGATGATATTTGGCCAGTAGCATCCTGAAATCAAGAGCTATCAAGTTTGTTCAAATGAATGACCTTCATCCATTTTCAAAGTCACAGGGGTCAAATATGTTAAATACCTTTCAACAACTTCTTCTCAGTAACTAAAAGGCTAAGGGTGATGATATTTGGCCAGTATCATGCTTGGACGAAGGGCTACCAAATTTGTTTAAACAAATCACCTTCGCCCATTTTCAAGGTTGTAGGGGTCAGATATGTTTAAAACCTTTAAACAACTTTTTCTGAACTACCAAGAAACCTAGGGTTATGATATTTTGCCAGTTAGATGCAGGGATGAAGGGCTACCAAATATGTTCTAATGAATGAACTTCGCTCATATCCAAGGTCACCGGGGTCAAATATGTTAAAATCTTTGAACGACTTCTTCTGAATAACAAAGAGGCCTAGGGTGATGATATTTGGCCTTTAGCATGCTGGGATGAAGGGCTACCAAGTTTGTTCAAACGGATGACCTTCATCTATTTTCAAGGTCACAGGGTTCAAACATGTTTAAAACCTTTAAAACTACTTCTCAATAACCCAGAGGCTGAGGGTAATACTTTTTGGCTTGTAGCATGCTGGGATGAAGCGCTACCAAATTTGTTAAAATGAATGACCTTGACAATTATTCAAGGTCACAATTGTCAAATATGTTTAAAACCTTTGAACAACATCTTTTCAATAACCAAAAGTCCTAGGATGATGCTGTTTGGCCAGTAGTAAGCTAGGATGAAGGACTACCAAATTTGTTAAAATGAGTGACCTTGACAATTATTCAAGGTCACAATGGTCAAATATGTTTAAAACCTTTGAACAACATCTTTTCAATAACCAAAAGTCCTAGGATGCCAGTAGCATGCTAGGATGAAGGACTACGACATATATTAAAGGTCACAGGTGTCAAATATGTTTAAAACCTTTAAACGACCTCTTCTCAATAAGCAAAAGGATAAGAATGATGATATTTGGCCATTAACATGCTGGGATTAAGGACTACCAGGTTTTTTCAAATGAATGACCTTCGCCCATATGCAAGGTCATAGTGGTCAATATATGTTTAAAATCTTTAAATGACTTGTTCTGTATAACCAAAAGGTCCAGGGTAATAATATTCTGCCAGAAGCATGCTGGGTTGGAAGACTATAAACTCTGTTCAACCTTATGTTCTTGTTCGACATTCAAGGTCACAGGCATCATATGTTTAAATCTTGTAAAAGGTTCTTATGAGTCAAACACTGATATTCTGCTGTAGCTGTATTCTAGTCCACTTTAAAGATTATTTGTGAGATATCTAATCTACATCAAATCTAGGTCACTGCTTCGCTGTCATTGATGGATAAACTTTGGACTTAGCTCCATTTCTTTGGATACACTATTCATATGTAAGTTCAAAAATATTTTCTAGTACTTACATACTTTTAAGCGTACAATTTTGACATTGTTAATATTTTTGGACTCTGTTACAGTTCCTGGCAGTGGGAACCCACTGGGGTATGATATACATACTGGACTATATCGGATTCAACATCAACAGTAAAGAGGTGGCAGCGGTAAGTGTAACACAGGGATATTATGATAAACATATATGTACATACTGTACTATATCAACATCAACAGTAAAGAGGTGACAGTGTAACACAGGGATATGATATACATACTGGACTATATCAACATCTACAGTAAAGAGGTGACAATGTAACACAGGGATATGATATACATACTGGACTATATCAACATCTACAGTAAAGAGGTGACAGTGTAACACAGGGATATGATATACATACTGGACTATATCAACATCTACAGTAAAGAGGTGACAGTGTAACACAGGGATATGATATACATACTGGACTATATCAACATCTACAGTAAAGAGGTGACAGTGTAACACAGGGATATGATATACATACTGGACTATATCAACATCTACAGTAAAGAGGTGACAGTGTAACACAGGGATATGATATACATACTGGACTATATCAACATCTACAGTAAAGAGGTGACAGTGTAACACAGGGATATGATATACATACTGGACTATATCAACATCTACAGTAAAGAGGTGACAGTGTAACACAGGGATATGATATACATACTGGACTATATCAACATCTACAGTAAAGAGGTGACAGTGTAACACAGGGATATGATATACATACTGGACTATATCAACATCTACAGTAAAGAGGTGACAGTGTAACACAGGGATATGATATACATACTGGACTATATCAACATCTACAGTAAAGAGGTGACAGTGTAACACAGGGATATGATATACATACTGGACTATATCAACATCTACAGTAAAGAGGTGACAGTGTAACACAGGGATATGATATACATACTGGACTATATCAACATCTACAGTAAAGAGGTGACAGTGTAACACAGGGATATGATATACATACTGGACTATATCAACATCTACAGTAAAGAGGTGACAGTGTAACACAGGGATATGATATACATACTGGACTATATCAACATCTACAGTAAAGAGGTGACAGTGTAACACAGGGATATGATATACATACTGGACTATATCAACATCTACAGTAAAGAGGTGACAGTGTAACACAGGGATATGATATACATACTGGACTATATCAACATCTACAGTAAAGAGGTGACAGTGTAACACAGGGATATGATATACATACTGGACTATATCAACATCTACAGTAAAGAGGTGACAGTGTAACACAGGGATATGATATACATACTGGACTATATCAACATCTACAGTAAAGAGGTGACAGTGTAACACAGGGATATGATATACATACTGGACTATATCAACATCTACAGTAAAGAGGTGACAGTGTAACACAGGGATATGATATACATACTGGACTATATCAACATCTACAGTAAAGAGGTGACAGTGTAACACAGGGATATGATATACATACTGGACTATATCAACATCTACAGTAAAGAGGTGACAGTGTAACACAGGGATATGATATACATACTGGACTATATCAACATCTACAGTAAAGAGGTGACAGTGTAACACAGGGATATGATATACATACTGGACTATATCAACATCTACAGTAAAGAGGTGACAGTGTAACACAGGGATATGATATACATACTGGACTATATCAACATCTACAGTAAAGAGGTGACAGTGTAACACAGGGATATGATATACATACTGGACTATATCAACATCTACAGTAAAGAGGTGACAGTGTAACACAGGGATATGATATACATACTGGACTATATCAACATCTACAGTAAAGAGGTGACAGTGTAACACAGGGATATGATATACATACTGGACTATATCAACATCTACAGTAAAGAGGTGACAGTGTAACACAGGGATATGATATACATACTGGACTATATCAACATCTACAGTAAAGAGGTGACAGTGTAACACAGGGATATGATATACATACTGGACTATATCAACATCTACAGTAAAGAGGTGACAGTGTAACACAGGGATATGATATACATACTGGACTATATCAACATCTACAGTAAAGAGGTGACAGTGTAACACAGGGATATGATATACATACTGGACTATATCAACATCTACAGTAAAGAGGTGACAGTGTAACACAGGGATATGATATACATACTGGACTATATCAACATCTACAGTAAAGAGGTGACAGTGTAACACAGGGATATGATATACATACTGGACTATATCAACATCTACAGTAAAGAGGTGACAGTGTAACACAGGGATATGATATACATACTGGACTATATCAACATCTACAGTAAAGAGGTGACAGTGTAACACAGGGATATGATATACATACTGGACTATATCAACATCTACAGTAAAGAGGTGACAGTGTAACACAGGGATATGATATACATACTGGACTATATCAACATCTACAGTAAAGAGGTGACAGTGTAACACAGGGATATGATATACATACTGGACTATATCAACATCTACAGTAAAGAGGTGACAGTGTAACACAGGGATATGATATACATACTGGACTATATCAACATCTACAGTAAAGAGGTGACAGTGTAACACAGGGATATGATATACATACTGGACTATATCAACATCTACAGTAAAGAGGTGACAGTGTAACACAGGGATATGATATACATACTGGACTATATCAACATCTACAGTAAAGAGGTGACAGTGTAACACAGGGATATGATATACACACTGGACTATATCAACATCTACAGTAAAGAGGTGACAATTTAACACAGGGATATGATATAGACATACTGGACTATATCAACATCTACAGTAAAGTGTTGTTCTTTTCCCTATAAATATAGTAACAAATTGATAATTGTTATAGAAAAGACGTTAGACTGTGACGCTGCAAAAGAATATCCCTTAAAATCCTATCTCCCCAGCTCCCTACTTACAAAACACAAATCTTCTTAATTACATTGTGTTCCAGAGACATCACATTTATCGGACTATAATACAAGTTATCATTACTTTTTGTATTATAGCACTCCACTACAGTGAACCAGATCAGTTTAGATGATAATGGTGACTTTATTGCCAGCTGTTCCGATGATGGTAGGGTGAGTATCTGTCACACATTTGTACCAGGGTGCATGTTTTAGCAGTGAGCTTGGTACATAAAGTAAATACAACAACACTTGTTTATCAGAACTAAGGTTTAGTTGCGATATGCTCTGATATTTGCAACAACTGATGACATTTTGTAAGAAGATAATTAGAGGATTATCTTTTCTGTAATTATTTAAGAACTTCAAAAATATTGAGATGTGCACTAGAGATGAACACTCACAGATCTGTAACTTATACTCAAAAGGAATGGTTTTGAAATGTAGACTTTCCGGTGATGCCTGTCTTGATTGAGCAGGATTCTAGGACACAAATATCTGAGTCTTGGACTCGTCCATTTCCTGTGTGGGACTCACCGACATTCTAAGAACTCCCTAAATCCCTGTATCTCAGTAACAGAGATTATTACCATTTTGAAGATGTTCTCAACTCAACTGAAAAAGTACTATGAAAATTACTGTTGATTTTCACTAACAGCTCTCCTCTCAGGAGGGTCTAATTATAAGGAAAACACAAATAAAGCCTACAGAAACAAGATTTTAACTAGACTTTGGTTTGTTACTAGTAAAATAGGTAATTATATGTATTGGTTTGTTACAGCGAAATAAATTGCAATTAATGAATGATTCCTGACATATTTGTTTGCTACAGGTGATGATCACTGGACTGTACACTACAGAAAACAACCAGAGTTTGAACTTTGACCGACCCGTAAAGGCTGTGGCAATGGATCCTAACTTCTACAAACAGGGCAGTGGGCGACAGTTTGTCACTGGAGACGACAAGGTACCACCTTCTCCACCTAAAGGCTATTGTTAGTGTTGGCCTGATCCCTAATGTTAAGAGTATATGCTGCCTTACTTTGTATCTCCATTTCAAAAGAGATACATTTCCTTAAATATTAAAAAATGAATTATTGGACTTTAAATTTGTTTTGTAAATTTGCTAGTATATTGAAAAATGAAAAGGAAAAATGTGTTTCCGAAAATATATATTAAGCAAAATAAACAAGCACTTGTTACTGGTTTTGGTGTCAGTAAGGGAGGCAGTCACATTTTTCTACTTGTAATGACATTTGTATCCACAGTTGGTGCTGAACGAGAAGGGGTTCCTGAGTCGACATAAAACGACAATGTTACACCAGGGTGAGGGGCCAATACGGGAAATCAAGTGGAAAGGCAGCTTCATCGCCTGGGCCAATGACATGGTAAACTTGACGTTTATTAAAACAAATTTATTATGAATTCATAAGAATAAATTATAGACTGATTGAAGCTGCTTTTGCTTGCTCCATTAGCAGTGTACAGATAAAGACCATTTTGCTAGTTCCCTATGGGCCATCTATACAAACGTCTGGAACTGTGCCTCCTGCAGCACACTACCTTTGCTTGTTGATTTATAGTATTTAGCTTAAATAATTTAGAAATTTTCCTCTAAAATGTTACTAGGGATTAAAACAAATATCAAAGTTTTTGTTTAGAAAAAGATTATCAAAACTATTCCTACAATAGTCTTTGTTTCATTAACTTTATAATCCAAAGATATCATATCTGCATATCCATATATAGGAATATTTCTATTGACAAATTTATTTGTTTATTTGATGAATTTCAGTAAAAAGAGTCTAATATAAGTTTTCTTGCATTATTTGACACTTTCTTTTTTCTGTTCATTTCAGGGGGTTAAAGTCTATGACATGAACTCTCGATCAAGGATCACCTTCATCCCTAAAGGCCATAGGTAAGACCAATATCCTAATATTGTGCTGACCATTCCTCTGGGAAATATGTGTTCCTGAGTTCCTCCTAAACTATTTCAATGTTTCCCGAGTTCCTCCTAAACTATTTCGCAGTTTCCCCGAGTTCCTCCTATACTATTTCACAGTTTCTCGAGTTCCTCCTATACTATTTTATGGTTTCCATAGTTCCTCCTATACTATTTCATGGTTTCCATAGTTCCTCCTATACTATTTCATGGTTTCCATAGTTCCTCCTATACTATTTCATGGTTTCCCAAGTTCCTTCTATACTATTTCACAGTTCTTCAAGTTCCTCCTATACTATTTCACAGTTTCCCAAGTTCCTCCTATACTATTTCACAGTTCTTTGAGTTCCTCCTATACTATTTCACAGTTCTTTGAGTTCCTCCTATACTATTTCACAGTTCTTTGAGTTCCTCCTATACTATTTCTCAGTTTCCCCAGTTCCTCCTATATTATTTCACAGATTCCAAAGTTCCTCCTATACTATTTCACAGTTTCCCGAGTTCCTCCTATACTGTTTCACAGTTTCCTGAGTTCTTCCTATACTATTTCACGGTTTCCCGAGTTCCTCCTATACTATTTCACAGTTTCCCGAGTTCATCCTATACTATTTCACAGTTTCCCCGAGTTCCTCCTATACTATTTCACTGTTTCCCGAGTTCATCCTATACTATTTCACTGTTTCCTGAGTTCCTCCTATACTATTTCATGGTTCCCAAGTCCTCCTATACTATTTCACTGTTTCCCGAGTTCCTCCTATACTATTTCATGGTTCCCAAGTCCTCCTATGCTATTTCATGGTTTCCTGAGTTCCTCCTATACTATTTCATGGTTCCCAAGTCTTCCTATACTATTTCATGTAAGAACTCCAACTTGAAACATGGGTATGCCCGTGCCGGTGGGGAGTCAAAAACAAATGTTGGACACTCGCCATCGCCACCTCCTCCTACAACAGACAATCCTGCATTCAAAAAGGCAAATGAGGATCTTCACAAAACAGTGTGTGGGTGAGGTGGTGAACAAAGAAAACGAGGGAACTATAATAATTAAAGTCCGGAGGATCGGGCGAAAATGGCTAAGTATGCCATTGAAAATGGTGTAGCCGATGACACAAGAAAATTCACCAATACATAAGGGTCTCTCGTCAACCAAAGCACAATACGTGAAATTAAAAAAAGTCTTTCTTATGTTGCAAAATTGATTTAACGGAACAAACCTGTAAACATGTGCCGTTGTATTCATATTTTTATGTCCCTGCCTTAAATGGGGGGGGGGGGGGGGGGGCGGGCATATAGTGTTGCCCATGTCCTTACCATCATGTCCCGTCCCGTCCCGTCCCATCCCATCCATGAGCGGGGGCATTTATGTCTTACAGATCTAGACATTTTCAAGTTTTTAAAACTTTCGCTATCATGTTAAATTCACCCACAGACCGGAAGGCGAAAGTTAAACTACGGTGAAAGTTTCCCGTTATACAGAAGTCATATATAGATGTTAACATGCTATGTTTGACAGTCAGCAGACCTATATATAGATGCTAACATGCTATGTTTGACAGTCAGCAGACCTATATATAGATGTTAACATGCTATGTTTGACAGTCAGCAGACCTATATATAGATGTTAACATGCTATGTTTGACAGTCAGCAGACCTATATATAGATGTTAACATGCTATGTTTGACAGTCAGCAGACCTATATATAGATGTTAACATGCTATGTTTGACAGTGAGCAGACCTATATATAGATGTTAACATGCTATGTTTGACAGTGAGCAGACCTATATATAGATGTTAACATGCTATGTTTGACAGTGAGCAGACCTATATATAGATGTTAACATGCTATGTTTGACAGTGAGCAGACCTATATATAGATGTTAACATGCTATGTTTGACAGTGAGCAGACCTATATATAGATGTTAACATGCTATGTTTGACAGTGAGCAGACCTATATATAGATGTTAACATGCTATGTTTGACAGTGAGCAGACCTATATATAGATGTTAACATGCTATGTTTGACAGTGAGCAGACCTATATATAGATGTTAACATGCTATGTTTGACAGTGAGCAGACCTATATATAGATGTTAACATGCTATGTTTGACAGTGAGCAGACCTATATATAGATGTTAACATGCTATGTTTGACAGTGAGCAGACCTATATATAGATGTTAACATGCTATGTTTGACAGTGAGCAGACCTATATATAGATGTTAACATGCTATGTTTGACAGTGAGCGGACCTATATATAGATGTTAACATGCTATGTTTGACAGTCAGCGAGCGGACCTATACAGATGCAGCATCTGTTGGAAAGACAGTCGTACATTTTTGATCGCCTGGGCCGATTCAGTCAAGGCAAGTCTGGAGAAATAGGAATTGAGAACAAAATACAGATATTATATATATGGAATGTTTGTTTTATACATGAAGTTTTAGCCTATTCAATATCAAGTTCAATTGTATGGAAAACTATGAAAGTGAATTCTTCTAAGTGTTTAGTTTGTTTATGAGAAATCAGAAACCAGGGTAACAGTCCGCTATATGATGATTGATAGTATTGTAGTGTATTACGTTGAACTAATTGTATTGTATTATGTTGAACTAATTTTAGTGTATTACATTGATATAATTGTAGTGTATTACTTTGGCATAATTTTAGTGTATTACATTGATATAATTGTACTGTATTACATTGATATAATTTTAGTGTATTACATTGATATAATTGTAGTGTATTACGTTGAACTAATTGTACTGTATTACATTGATATAATTTTAGTGTATTACATTGATATAATTGTAGTGTATTACTTTGACATAATTGTAGTGTATTACATTGATATAATTGTACTGTATTACATTGATATAATTGTACTGTATTACATTGATATAATTGTACTGTATTACATTGATATAATTGAAGTGTATTACTTTGACATAATTGTAGTGTATTACATTGAAATAATTGTACTGTATTACATTGATATAATTGTAGTGTATTACATTGATATAATTGTACTGTATTACATTGATATAATTGTAGTGTATTACTTTGACATAATTGTAGTGTATTACATTGATATAATTGTAGAGTATTACGTTGACATAGTTGTAGAGTATAACAATGATATAACTGTAGTATATTACACTGATGGTATTGTACTGTATTACATTGTGTGTAGACGGCATTGTATGGACAGGAGACTAAGATCACCTAGTTTGTTTTACCAGGTTTGTGTGGTGCGAGACCGGGTACAGCAGGATGTCCGTGACCTACCCAACAGATATGTGGAAATAAGTAAGTAGCTATTGTGAGATTTTCCTCCATCAAGTTACCACAGAAGCCATTGCCATTTTTACTAGATATATAGAATCTTAGAGTGTGGTCAGTGGGCAGTGAATCCTCTAGATCTACTCTCGGGTAGGAGTGTGGTCAGTGGGCAGTGAATCCTCTAGATCTACTCTCGGGTAAGAGTGTGGTCAGTGGGCAGTGAATCCTCTAGATCTACTCTCGGGTAGGAGT